TCGCCTCGCTTCGCCTCGGAGCGCGGCAGCCCGGGCCGGGCTGCGGGCAAGGCCGCGGGCGAGGCCGCGCTGCAGAGCTGCGTGCCTCGGCCCTGCTGGGAGTGTGCTTGCCCCCCAGTTCTGCTCTGAAATGACCTGTGTTCTTAGCAGCCCCCAGCCCTGGCGAGGCAAAACTGAAGCGCGGTAGGAAAAGGAGAACAAGGTTGGGAAGGACGGGCTGGCGGCAGCAGGCTGTGGCAGGGTAGTGCCTGGCTGTGCCGCACGGTGGGTTTGAGTGCCCCCAGCCCTTTCCTTGAGGGGGAAAACTTTCCCGGCTGGAATGGGGATTATTAAGGAGGACAATAAAAACATGATGGGAGTGGGGAAGTGCTCTGTGTGACTGGCAGTATGGAAGGCACTTGATAGAGTGACAGGGAATAAGAAGATACTTAATGTTTGGTCAGTACTTGCTTAAAGTTCAAGAGTTTGTGCACAAGTGTTTGGGGCAAAGTTTCTGTCACAAAGTAGCAGCAGGCCCAGAGCGATGCCCAAATCCCTGCTCCGAGATCCCGCCTTGCCTCGAATCCTGTGCTCCAAATCATCGGTGCCGCTAGACCTGAACGGCTGCCGCTCCGGTACCGTTCGCCCCGAGCAGGGAGATGCCTGGAGGGAGCTTTACAGGGATTGCCTGCCTCGGCTGCTTTATTTTTAACTGGAGGTCTCCCTTACCGCTATTCTACCTTGTTCCACAGCTCCTTGAGAAGCGGGGTCACCACGTTTGTCAGTGCCCTCCCCTAAGATCCCCCTCGGGCAGAAGTTCCCAAAAGTGAGTGGGTGTGTGGAGTTGGGAGTGAGGTAGCCAGGGCTCACCCGGGTTCAACCTGGCCTTGAAGAAGGCAGTACCCGGACAGGAATCTACAACACACATATATTGTACAGACCTCCAAACGACTGGTTATCTGAGATGTTCTGTCTGTTTAGTTGATAAATCTTGGATTTTATTCTCTTCTGCTGTGGCATTGGACCCCTTGTTCCACTTAAGTACCTCTTTTATTATTGCTTACATTTGAGACCCCCTTTTTGTCTTATTGCTGGAAAAAAAGCATCTTCCTTGGCCTTGCAGTTGATTCCAGATGTTAAAATTACAATAATATGGGTTTTTTTTCCATTTATTGAAAAGTTTCTACTTTGTCCACAATAACTTTTATACATAGTATATGTTGATATGCGGTCTATGAAGTGTTATAATGCTTGTCTTTAACTGAACTCCAATTTATTGTACACGTGCACTTGTTCATCTGATGCAGTTTAAGTGAGTTTCTAAAGTACTTCTGGGTATAAATAATGTATATAATATGGTTCATCTTTGTGTGTATGTTATATGATCACTGTATTTTAGCAACCCTTTTAGGCTTCTGAAAACTGAGATTTTTCTGTATATGTATTCTTAGATATTTCTATTATTAAAAGCCGGACAAGAAATGTTWTAGGAAATACTGCATTCTGCTGCAATAGTTCAAGCAACTTAGTCTGTGATAAGAGCATCGTGTTTTTGGGGCTTTCCGTTGAAAGGCAAGTAAGACTCTTGTAAGAAGCTCTTTCCACGCAGGAAACCCAAACAGGTGCCTCTATAAAGCAGGCAGGCTCCCCAGCTCCCTGCAGGTCTGGTGGTTGTTACAGGCGGCTGCGCAAGCCRGGAGGTCTGTCCAGGGCCCCAGTGCCCGTCTTTGGCTCTCTCCCTCTTTGCAGCCCTTGGGTGCTCAATAGTGGAGCTGAGGTGCCTAGAGGTGTTAGGGTGGGCAAACTCACCTTCCTGAAAAGCAGCAGTGGCAATCCTGTGTTTGTTTTGATCATGCGCTTCAGACAATTCCAGCAGGTCGAGGGAGGTGATTGTGCCCCTCTGCTCAGCTCTGGAGGCTGCGTCCAGTTCTGGGCTCCCCAGGACAAGAGGGATGTGGAGCTGCTGGAGAGAGTCCAGCGCAGGGCCACGAGGATGATCAGGGGCCTGGAACATCTGCCCTGTGAGCAAAGGCTGAGAGAGCTGGGYCTGTTCAGCCTGGAGAAGAGGAGGCTGAGGGGGGACCTGATCAGCGTGTATAAATACCTCAAGGGAGGCAGTGAGGAGGAGGGGGCGGCCTCTTTTCAGTGGTGGCCAGCGACAGGACTAGAGGAAACGGCCACAAACTGARKCACCAAAAGTTCCACAGGAACTTAAGGAAACATTTCTTGWCAGTGMGGGTGACAGAGCCCTGGCACAGGCTGCCCAGAGAGGTTGTGGAGTCTCCTTCTTTGGAGTTCTTCCAAACCTGCTTGGATGCAGCCCTGTGCTCTGGGTGACCCTGCWTGAGCAGAGGGGTTGGACTAGATAGATGATCTCTAGAGGTCCCTTCCAACCTTAAGCATTCTGTGATTCTATGAACTTAAACATGTGAAGCCCTCTTGTACTGAGCAAAGTCTAGCTTCGAGAGTTTAGAGAGGCTACGCAAAGTTACTCTGTGGATCATTGTGACAATTATTCTGCCTATTTTTAGATTAGTCCACTGTAGTATTATTGTACTGAATCTTCAGCTCTAGAAGGTGAGGGAAAAGGAGAAACCAAAACACATTAAGTCTTGCTTAAAGAATGCTATTGGTTAATATTAGTAATTATAAATGAATATAAAATAGTGTTAGGTTTAGGTTAGGATTAGTTTCCTTAATCTTTCTGGCAGTTTGTATCTGTCTGTTTTAATCGTCTTTTTTTTTCCTTTTAAATAAAAAGGCACCACTTTTGCTATTACTGAAGTCCATGGTTTGATAGGACAGGATGCACATGGCTCTGCTGTCCTTCTGTTCTGGTGCTTCACTGCAAGGCGGCAAGGACAGATACAAGCCAAATAACCACCACTGTGTCCYGTGATACTGGAGCCTCTACACAGGGAGGAAGAAAATGCTTATTCCTTAACCTATCTCCTCGTTCCCTTATTGGATTTCACACCTGAATTTACTATAGATAACAAGCCAGGCCCAAGCAAGACCTTGGTGGATGATTTCTTTTTCAGAACTTTTTTTTTAAAATTTGGTGATGGTTTGATTTTTTTTTCGTATAATCATTTAAAAGTGACGGATAACGAGCCGGAGCTGGGAATAAAGATGCATTTTTCTTTTCCACAATGATGTGTGCATTTGTTGAAATTACTTGGTTGATATTTATTTTTGCACAATGTCTTTGCTTCTGACATTTGGCCTGAGAGGAGGCAAATGAGCTGGGCCTTTCCTTTTTGCACCCCTTCGGGGAAACAAGCAATTTGGGAATGGGATAATAGTGTCTGGAATCCTTAATGAATGGAAATTTGGACAAAATCCCTGCAGAGACTGTGGGCTSCTGTGAAAGGAAACAGCTGTTATGTTCTCCAGGATGTAGTTGATATTTTGCCACACGTTGCCTTGATTGTTCCTTGTGGTGCCCTGTGTCAGCACTTGGCGCTCCAAGAGAGCATGGGCTTTCTTGCTATGCTGCTGTTCGTGTTGATTATTTTTCTTTTGGGGTTGGAATGATAACTGATTGTCATAATATGCTCATCTCTTTAATTATTATTTTCCAGTTTGTGAAAATAGGAAATTTTTTCCCTGCTACTTTAGAAAATTCAACAGTTTAGATAGTTTTGTATTGTTTTGTTCTGTACCTTTTTATGAGTTGAATTGTAATGTATTTTTTTTAAGTGAGACTTAAAGAATAGTAGTAATAAAAAAAAAAAGTGGGCTTTTCTGTTTTAATATCTGGTGGTCATGTAAGGGAAGACCTATTTTACTGGTTGTGTTAAACCTTTGCTGGTTTATGATCACTGGTATCAGTGCTGCAAGAATAGGACTGGGGGAAATGATGAATTTTGTTATCTATATTGGTCCTGGGTTTATTCTTTCACTTTTCTGCAGCCATGTGCAACATCAGAGGATTTTATGCCCATCATGTTGCCTGCTAATTATGTATCATGCTGAGCAGCTAGAAGATTCAGCAACCRTGTGGTAACATCTGGGTTAATAGTGTGCTATTTTGTTGTATTTTGAATGATGATAGTGGATGGATGTCTGTAAAGTTATTCAAAGTTCCATAATGAAAAATGCTATACAGGTTCATCATTAAATGGATAATTTTATGTTACAGCAGTAGGCTGGACTGTAAGTAATACGGGATTAGAGTTACCTATTAATGCTCAAAAAATTCAGTATGTAATAACTATATCAAAAGTGAAAGGCACTTCTAACCTYGGCGCTAATGAAATCCCCTGGATCTTGTTTCCAGACAAGAACACAACAAGAAGTGAAGGTCCTTTCTCTGTGYGGTCGTTTGTTATACTGAAATCTTACCAAGTAATGTAACCATAAGAAAGAGATTTATGAAGGGCTCTCGTATGTGATGCCCCACAAGTGTTTTCTCTGCTGTGCTTTCCGTTCTATCTAATCCAGTCCTGGATATCCTTCTTCCCTGGGGGAAATACATTCTGCCATGTACTGTATCTTGCTGCCACTAAATGATATCTGATGCTTGGCCTAAGCCACCCTTTTCCCTAATCCCACCCCATTATTTCAGTTACACCCTCTAGAGTCCCTCTGTGTAATTTCTCTCCCCTCTGAGTCATTTACGTTATCATCATATGTCTCCATAACTGTCAAGTAGCCAAGCTAACTTGCCTGGCTTTTTTGATCTTTCTTTCTTATTTAGTGACTACTGAAATTTTTAGCTCAAAAAACAAACTGTGGTACTGAAAAAAAAAAAGGCTGATATTTTGTTTAAGAGCAACTATGAATCTCCTTGTAGAGGAGTCCTCCAAGGACTCCTCCAAGTCCTTTTTTTCTGACCTGAGGTTTCCAGTCTAACAAGTTGGTTCCAAGTAACATTGCCAGCCGTTTTTATTAAAGGTTATGGCTGTATGCAGGAGGTCTTAGAGAGCAAAGTCTGCTCCTCTGTTGCATTGAAATTTGTCATGTGTGACACAACTGTAGGGCTGAGGTCGTGCTGCTCATCCCCACCTCGTCATGCTGCAGCACTGTGGATTTGTTGCACGCCTAGCACCGAGCTGTGCCTGTTTGGTTGTCTGATGAATGTGGTTTTCCATTCTATAGCATGTTTCCATTTTAGACCATGTTATATATCTGTATGACTTTTTTTTCCCAGGGATGTTAGACTTTGGTGCAACAAAAACAGTTTAAACTTAAGATGCAAGGAAAGAAATCCAATGAAACATCCTTCTTGGACTGGGAAAGAAACTGTGGGCAATGATTTTTGTTTGTTTCAAATGCAGAAAGCAATTTACCATGTTAGTGAATTAAATAACAGTAAAATTTAAGGTAATGACTTAATTTTGCATGATCCTTGGAATTTTTGGTCTTTCACTATTCTGTCAATATCAGTTTTGTGCCCTAACAACTCTGGCCAGCATTCATGATACTTCAGTAATGATGTGTTTCTAAATATCTCATACTCTTGGTGGATATCTGAAAGAAGATGAATTGCCAGTATTTTCTAGGTGTCTCCATATGTCTGTACTGAGCTTTCTTTTATTCCTGTTGCAGTTTTTCTATTGGTGTGACTTTGCCAAAATTGATCTTTAAGCCTGTCCCTGAAGAGAAGGAAAGAAGCATTGGCAGAGGAAGCAGTGCTGAGCGTATCTCTGTTTGCTGGTAAGGTTTACAATTAGACTTTATCTTTGAACCTGTCTGAACTGGCTCTCTGAACTGATATTGCCATCCCTTTTAGGTAATAAGAGATTTTCAGGCTTTCTGTATTTTAAATAATAGTAAGAAAAAATCTTCCTTCATTTTTTGAGTTAGCTACTGTTGAAGACCTTGCTGGAGATCTGGATTTACTTTCAAAAAGACTCCCAAGTTTTCTTATGCCTTATTCCAAGACAAAGGCWGTGATGAGACTCGAGATGGACATGTCCTAATAGTCTTCTAGAGGACAAATTCTGTTGCCTTTTTATTGGACCAGGTCTATTTCTTCAAATATAGTCCCAGTGAAACTTGTTTAGTGTGAAAACAGGTGGCAGAATTAGCCTTTCGTTCCTTTACAAACCGCTTGTTGATTCCGCATGGACCTCAGCATAATCTGGGGACTGGGAAATGAGGAGTTCAGTGAGCTTTGCTGAGGGCAATAATTAAGGCATTGCAAAACCCACCGTTAATGTCACAATCTGTTGTATATGTTCTTGTCCCCGCAGCAGAAGCGGGTAAAGGGAAAGTGTTTCTGGGTCACTCTGTGATGTTTTAACATACCTTCATAGAACATAACATTCATACAACCTGTTGAATGGAACTGGCATCTTTTACAGGGGTGGGTTCAACAGAGGTGGGAGAGGGGCTCCTGAAAAGGAACAATTTGAAGTCGTGCTCTGGCCAAATTTACAGCACATAATATATGGAGTCCTGACTTAAATATTGCCTGTTGCAGAAACTCAGTGTGATGAGCTTTCTGGGGTATCCTTAAAGGCGTGCAATCAGTTTTGCCTAAGCTCAGTTATTCTCTTTCAGCTCTGTACTCTCTCTCTTCTTTTTATTTATGTTTATGCAGGTGATTTCCATAATTCTTYAACTTTTGAAATGCTCCTTGTTGAAGTAAGACTTTTCATTTAAAGTCGGGGGGAAAAAGAGAAAAGTAGTGTGAATTGTCAAAGTTACTGCAAAGTTACTGCAAAGTGTCTCTTTTATAACATTTTTTGTATGACTTGAAAATTATGTAGATTGTCAATGTTCTTATTTCGGGGATTTTTTTTTTCTTGTTTGTTTTGGCTTAACCTTTTTGAAACATTGGTTTTGGCTTTGATTTTTATTACACAAACTGCTTTCAGGGTGAAAATGCACTGTCTAGTGTAATACCACTGTTCTTTACCTGGAAAGTTTGTTTTCTGAACAGATATGCAATTGCCCATGTAGAATTATCAAATGTTGAAGAAATAATTACATACTAGCTTCTTATACACTTAYAATTGCAGAATACATAAAGTGAAATTGTTTAACTTTTTAGTGGAGTTTTGCCAGTTAATGCACGTGTGTCCTGAGCATGCTTGTTTTAAAAAGAGGTCTTCCATCCTGTGGACCAGCAATCTGCAGGAAGACTGTGGCAGCACACAGGCTTGGTCAAGCCATGTGGGACCTCGAAGGAGTTTGTTATCCATTCATTTTAGGACTGGGATCAAGGAAATAAGAGCAGAGAATTTAAAAAACAATGTTGATGAATGACTAAAGGAAACCAAAGGGGAAATGTTCAGTGCTGGAATCATTTGGGTTTTATTCTGCCTTTTAAAATGCATTGCAGTGAGCACGGTTTTATTAAGATGGTAGTGATTGTGTGAGAGTGGTGCGATGGAGCTCTCTGTTGTTTGTGAATCCTGCTGCTCCTGTACGTGCAGCTTTCTGTATGGATGAGATGGGTTACAATGAGCTGCTCTTTGGAAATGCGTCTAGTTAATGTTTCTGGTGAAATGAAGGGRTCTTTATGCTTCTAACTCCCATTAGTGCTAATGGGATGCAACTGCTTTGTGCACAGATGGAAGAATAAAAAAAAAAAATTCGTGTCATTGTTTTCCAATTTACTAGTCAACAGGAATGGGGAGTCATACCAAAACACTAAAGGCTTTTGCATTATGTAAAGAAAAATGTCACTGTAAATAGAATTTATTTCTTTCACAACTTGTAGATCCTCTTTATATGTTTCAGAGATAATGGGCCTTTACTAAGGAGAGTGAGCCAAGAGYGATGTTTTGAAATGGAGGAAAGGCTCACAAATGCTGTTCAAGAGCAACATTAGTCTTGGAGTGAATTTATGGGAATCATTTTTTATTTTCCCCCATTGTATCTTATCTGTGATACAGTTTATGTTATGTTGTAGCTGTGTCTTTATCAGATCAGTAGTTGACTASTGAATAATTTCTTAGAAAGTCTGGACCCAGCAAAAAATTTACCAGGATATTTTTCAACTGGATGCCTGAAAGTGCAGAAATCTTCTCTGGCAAAGGTCTGCTGAAGAAAGATGGTGGGAATTTTAGTCATTGTTTTCTGGCACCTTTCTCTCTAGCTTCACATGGGGTTTAGGGGAGAAGTAGATGGTTTCAGAACTCCATAAGGAAAAGTTTTGCTCTGATGGAAACAAACCCCTCCTGCTCTGACTCCGTGGTCACCAGGATCCCACCGCAGAGCCGCTGGGCTCGGTTCTCCTGGGACTTCTGAGCGCTGCAGCACAGGAGGCCGGRGCTGTGGAAGTGCCCCTGCAGCAGCACCGTCGCCTTTCCAGCTTCTCCTGGGGTTCTGCCTGTGTGGAAGAGATGGCGATGCCAAGAGCAAACCCCTCCGGCTTTGCCTCTGAAGCCCTTTAGATTCCCATGTGATGGGTTTGATCAGAGCAAGTGCCACCTTCATTCAGAAACACTTAAATTGCTCCTTCTCTCAGGAAGGAGATAAGCTGACCATGTTTCACAGACAAGTTTTGCTGAAGCTGTGTCTAAACATCACTTGCCACTTAAGCTTGTGTAGGTGTCCCTGTATAGGGGGAATGTGAAGTTTGAGGCAGAGACACCATTTCTTCTGCCAAAAGCTGATGACTTAAGTAGTCATATAAGTGACTCTTGATTCTTCAGCAAAAAATAATTTTATAATTTGACTCAATATTCATGAGATGTGAGATAAAGATTGTGTAGTGACTAGTAATAGTGGTGCATATATTCAGTTCTGTGATGAAGATTTTTCTACAACTCCTCCCCTGGAGTTTAAAGCTCTGGTTTAAATCATTGAGAGCCTTTAGGCTGCTCTGAGCGGACATCAGCTCACAGCCTGGTCACAAGGAGCCTTAATTATGGATCTGTGCAGCACTAGGAGCTCTGCTTGAGGTGCTCAGAACAAATCATCTTGCCTGTAACTTGCATTCATTTAAAGAAAATCAGAATGTGAAGAAGTCATTAAGAAGAATTGAATCAAAGGTTATTCAGATGGTTTTCATAATTATATTTAAGACTGTRTAATTTACCGTTGTCCACCAGATCTGATGTCACATTTAAAATACATTTAAAAATAGGCAGTTATTTGATCTGAACATYCTGTTTTTTGCATGTTTGCTGCTTTATTATATTCATTTAGTTTATTTAAAATTCAGGTCTGAGCAAAGATGCAAAGCCTAGAGACTCCTAGGATGTCCTCTCTGCTGCACATGCAATTGGAGTGCTTTTGATAAGGAAGAAAGGGGATGGAATAGCAGCCAGCTGCCTGCAATGGATCTGTTGTTTCTCAAGTTAAACGAGATCTTCTTTTCATTAGCTTACATGATTGAGCCTGTGTGCATATGATTTATTTAATGGTAAGTCTGGGAAATTATATGCTAGCCTTTTTACTGAGATGGTAATTATAAAAAAAAAAAAAACCCAAATTTTTACATATCAGTGGTATGGCAAGTCTGGAAACCTTGATGGCTGGCCTCTGTTTAAAAGCCAGATGTTTTTACTGCTAAACTTTCCTTTTTTTTTTTTTTTTTTTTTCCCTTTTTAATTAAAACATTGCATCTGAGCATCTTAATCATCTTATATTACACACAAAGCAGGTCTCTTCCTGTGTTGATGGAAATATTTTTATGCTAAAGAAGGGAATAGATTAATTATGACTGTATTGGGTATATGCTTTTAACTGTACCCAAGGCAACATACACTGTTTTTAACATTATGGGTTAGTGCTTCCTGGTAATTTTTCCTTGCCTGACAGTAAAAAAGAGGTATTCTAATGTCAAAGGCATAGATGATATGAAAATGCACATTTTTGTTATGGATTATGATTAGAGACTATCTCTAGCAACGCAATCTTTTGGTTTTGTTGTTTAAATTGCGTAAAGCATCGAGTTTGGAGGCACTGTTAGATTTTGCCTGACTTTGAAGGATGACCCATGGAATACAGCTTTCTATTTTCCGTATAGTGCCCTGTTGCACAAACTGTAGCTGCTGCTGCTGCTGCCGGATCTCCCAACACCTGGGCCTTTAACAAGCGTCGAGTCTCCTGCTTCTGCCCCAGGTCTCGCACAGAGACACCTGCAGTTCCTGCGTCACCCAGCGGCCCTGGGACTCGGCAGAGCGTGTCCAGTACCCGCCGTGCGTCCAAAGAGGAGCTTGTTGAGGCTGTGGGGTGGTCATCAGGCCATGCACGCTTGTGCCTCTTGTAGACMAACGGCAGCAGTAGGCATTCTGGATGAGTAGTATCCAAAGAAGTTAGATGGATGGCACCTAAGTGTAGTCTGTCCCCAGAGTGGCAGATTGTCTGTGCGTCCCTTCTCACTGACCATGACCGGCGAGAATAGACTGAAATCTTACCATTTGTGGGAACCAAAATGCTACTTTCACTTAACCTGTTGCTGTTACCTTTTGAAGCAACTTTTTGAGAATACTGTTGAATTCAGCTTAATACTGTTCTTATAGATTCTACTTTTTAAACTTATGCTTCAGAGGAAGTGAGGGCTATGAGATAGTGTATGTATCTGTACATTTGCTGTCAGCCCTTCTTTTTCCACTTATCATTGGTCAAATTTCATAAGGGAGGTCTAGATCCCAAATAGAGCAAGTCACATGTTRTGGGAGATTAAAGGGCTTAATAAAGGAGAGGGGACCCAATTAATGCCTCAGCGGATGCAGAAGTGGCAGGATGAATTTGTC